CCCCGCTCCGCTCCCCAGGGGCTGGGGCTGTGGGGCTGGCTGCCCCCAGCCAGGCACCATGGTCCTGCCTGCTGTACCCCTGCCTGCTCCCCCAGCCCAGACCATCCCCTCCAGCGTGAGCATGAGGAGCAGTGGGGCAGCAGTCCAGAGGCTTGCCACCAAAGCCTCGCTAGAGCCATTTCCCACCACATGGGCAGTGTCCCTACCGGCAGAGCGATGTCCCCACCAGGAGAGCTGTAGCCCACCGTGAGAGCCATATCCCCACCAACAGAGTGATGGCCCCACCAGGGGAGCTGTAGACCACCGCGAGCTGTAGCCCACCGTGAGAGCCATATCCCCACCAGCAGAGCGATGGCCCCACCAGGAGAGCTGTAGCCCACCGTGAGAGCCATATCCCCACCAGCAGAGCGATGGCCCCACCAGGAGAGCGGTGGACCTACCAGGAGAGCAGTGTCCCCACCAGAAGAGCAATGTCCTCACCAGAAGAGTACCATCCTCACCAATAGAGCCATGTCCCCACCAGGAGAGCAGCGTCCCTACCAGGACATCAGTGTCCTCACCAGGAGAGCCACATGCCCACGAGGACATCCGTGTCCCCACCAGAAAAACCAATGTCCCACCAGGGTCACAGCCGGGCAGCTGGCCCTGCTCTGGAGCAAGGCTGCTTCAGCCTGTGTGGGACCCGCCGAGCAGTGCCACCGAGCCGGCGGGTTTGCAGGGACGGCTGCAGACTTTCATCACATGGGGAAAACCAAGCCGGTGAGCTGCACGAGCGCTCCGATTTCCTGTACGGGCAGAGTTTTGCTTTCAAAATGTGCCACTGTTTCCTTCCCTCTCAGGTCAAGGTTCTCACACTTCACATCCTTTCTGCACCCCATTTATCCTCCCCTTTTCTTCTCTTTTCTTCTTAGCGCCGGCTCCTTCCTTCTCACGCTGCAGCGGAGGGTTGTGCTGAAGGCACGGAGACCTCGGTGCCCAGCTGCGGCGGCTCAGCTGCCGGCAAGTCCTGCTCAGCTTGGGACACGCCGGTGAGCCAAAACAGCCAAGGCTGGGCCAGGTGGAGGGTAGGTGGTGGCTTTTGCCACTTCTCCTTGAAATTCATCTTGCCACAGAGCCGAACACCAGTTGTGGTGGCCCACCTCCAGGGAAGGGTCTGGTCCGCTGGCCCATCGCTAGCTTCACCAGATGGTGGAGGCGGCTCTGCTCTCCCCTGGGGACTCAAACAGGCAGCGGGGTCCTGTGGTGGGAATGGGTCACATCACGGCCGTTT